CCCCCCCCGCGAGGCTTCGTCAATTTTTTTTTTCTGTAGTAGGCTGTGGTGCTTGTTTTTATAGGCGGCTTGTTTTCATAGGAGGAATAGTGAAGGACACGGATCATTAAATGCTTTGCTACCTGAGTACTACTGTGGGGAAGGGTGGTGAAATATGCTGGTCTATTGGCGTGAGCCTGTGGGGTCCGTAAGCTCATGTGCTTTGAGATGTTAAAAAAAAAAAAAAAACGACGGTATGCAACGTACGCGCTGTATATTATGACTAGCAAAGTGCCCGTGGTGCGGGCGGTGCGGGCTAGGCCCTCAGAAATAACAAGTGCAGTGGGTGACCTCGCACTGCATTTCGGATGGCTCGCCTCCAAGATGTTCGCCCGCAGAAACGACGGCGGCCTACCAGGGGGGGCACAAAACGACAGCCGTGCAAGAAATGAAAAAAAGGAGGAAGGAAGATGGGAAAAAAAAAACAAAAAAAAACAGGGGGGACACAAAACGACAGGCGCGGAAGTTAACAAAGGAGAAGGCGGACACAAAACGACAGCGAACCGGGAACAAAACAAAACAAAACAAACAAACAAAAAAAAAAAAAAAAAAAAAAAAAAAAAAAAAAAAAAAAAAAAAAAAAAAAAAAAAAAAAAAAAAAAAAAAGCCCGCATATCGGATGCCTCGCCTCCAAGATGTTTGTCCGCATCCTGCTGCAGCCGGTCGGGACACACCCAATACACACCCCAACAAAAAGAGCTCTCTCAGGTTGAGTACACTGGCGAGGGTTGTTTCTTAAAAAAAAAAAGAGTTCTCAGTCAGATTCATCGTTAAAGCTGACATTTATGATTACGATGCTTATCCAGAGGCTTAAACCACCAGTACTTCCTCGAGTCGTGCCCGTTAACGCGCCACGATTTTAGGAAACGTACGGGCTACTACAGGAGTGCACAAATGCATCCGACTAGAAACGTTTCTGCTCTACTTTTTTCCACGGCCGATAGCTGGGCCAAGTACTGGCGGTGGTTTGGTTTAAAGTTTAAACCACCAGTACTTACTTTCCCCCACCATTCTGTTCCAATGCGGCCATGTCAGAGCAAAATGGCTCCGCCTCCTTTGGGGCTCGGCCCACCAGAGAAAAATGGCTTGGCTCACCAGATCGGAAGTGGCAATTATTCTTTTTCCTCTTTTTTTTTTACCAAACAAAGGGAAAAGAAGGGCGGCAGCATTGATTTTTTTTTTTTTTTTTTTCTCAAAAGTCTGTGAGATATATCAACAGGTGACCGGCCCGGGTAATTCGAGATTATTACGGAAGTTATTAATGTAGATTCTATGCCATGATCATGACCTATTGAGCTCATGTTGTGACACTGTCAGGAATTTTGAGAGCCTTTTTTTTTTTAAGCCTCTGGATGTATTCCGAAATTGAGGGTCTCAACTACGATGATAGGTATGTTGAGAGTTTTTTTAAACCGCCAAGCCTTCCAATGGCAGAAAAAATGGCCATTTCGGTGGGTTAGGGCCGCATTCCAGGGGGGGGGGAGGTCGCCGTCCGTTTCTGGTAGTCGTTTGTGTGTGAGGCACCACAGTGCGGCGCAGCATTCGGAAGCATCAACTGCAGTGCGGCGCAGCATCCGGAAGAGACGGCCTGAGGTGCTCAATCGTCGCGGGTAGCCTGGGGCCAAGTCCCACCAGCAGCATTGAGTTTCCTCAACGCCTGAATCTGGTCGTGTTTGTCGATACATGCAGAATTGACGTGGAGTTTCCTCAACTGCACGTCTCCACAACCATGTCCAGATTCAGGCGTTGAGGAAACTCAACGCTGCTAGTGGGACTTGGCCCCTGGTCGAAAAAGAAAAAGAAGTCGGGTGCTTTGCACTACGTTCCACGACCAGGCAAGATGCAAGACAATAAATGTGGCGGTGCATCTTTCCATGTGGTCGCGGAATGTTCGCTCTTCACTCTCATTTTCCACATACGGAGATTAGTGGAGCGAGGCCTACGGCCAGAGATTTATTTATTTATTTATTTATCTCCCACTTGTTTTCTCTTTTTCAGTTGGTGAGATGCACTTACGACACACCTGCAAACCGCCACAACCACACAAGCCAATCAATACGGCGGTGTATCTTCCCATGTTCTCGTAGAAGGTTCACTCTGATTTTCCACGTATGGAGATTGGCGGATAGACGCCCAAGGTTGGAATCAACGGCCAGAGAGATTTCTTTTTTTTTCCGGCTTTTTTTTTTTTCCGGCTTTTTTTTTTTTCCATTTTCAGGTGGTGAGATGCACTTGCGACGCACCTGCAAACCGCCACAACCAGGCAAGACAAGAAATATGGTGGTGAATCTCTCCATGATCTCGCGGAAGATTCACCAAGGTCAGCGAGATTCCTGTGTTTTTTTTTTGGCTTTTTTAAGGGGTTCTTTTTTTTTTCCGGCAGTTAGACACACTTACGACGCACGGCCTGTTTCAATTTTTTATTTTTTTTTGCGACGAAGATTGAGTAGGGCGGTGCTCCGCTACTCTCGGATTGTGCAAAACAAGAATGAATCCTCCACTGGAAGATGGCAAGGTGCATGATTTTTGCCTTTTGTGCATGTCAAGAGTGCTGGAGCGAGGCCCTTAGTTACTACCCATATTTCGGGTTCCAGTCGCTACCGGAGGGGGTACTGCAATTCTACAGACCGACCAGTCGTCTCTCTCTCTCTCTCTCGCGCGCGCGCGCGCGCCGCCCCCCCCTGAAAATTGGCCTCCCCCCCCCCCCCCGCCCCCCCGGATTTTTCCAGGGCGGGGGTAGTGGTGGATAAACTGGGTGGAGCAAGGCCTGTGCACATCCGAAAAGCGTCCTGCTTGTGGACTTGTTGTTTTGTTTAGGGGCCATGTTCATCTTCTCTGTGTTGTGCAAGGATGTCCCAAACAACACTCCACTTGCGTTTTTGCCATTCTTTTTAAACTTTGTGTGTTTTTGCCATTCTTTTTAAACTGTGTGTTTTTGCCATTCTTTTTAAACTGTGTGTTTTTGCCATTCTTTTTTAACTATGTCCAGAAGAGTTCTGAGGAGATTGCCCAGCCCAGGACAGTCACTGCGATAAGAGCATATTCAGTGTACTAGGTCCTGAGCTAAATGTGGTCGTGATTGCTGTAGCCTTCTGTCCAAGAAGTTGGTGTGCGTATGCCCTCTTTTTTTCTTTTTTTGCGTTGAGAAAACCCCCAGGCGGGCCCCGCGAAGGGGGGGGAGGGGGAGGAAGGGGCGCGGGGGGAGGAGGGGAAGGAGGGTATGCCCGAAGGTTTGAAGTGTGAGGAAAGCTGTGACAAAAGTTTTGTGATTGAACTTGATATAAGTCCACATGCCCATTCCACCTAGGACAAGTTTACACTTAGTACCAAGATTCTGCGTCGATCCCTGAGTCGGAAAAGAAGAATCTAGTCGAGTGGGATCTCAAAAAAAAAAAAAAAAAAGGGAAAGAAAGAAAGGAAAGAAAGGAAAGAAGGGATCTCAATCCCAGAACGAAGAATCCAGGCAAGTGCCATCTCACGCCTACCTACCGACGCCCTGTCATTATCACTGCATCTGGACTGCAAGTGGGGCCAAATGCACAGCTATAATGACCAGGCGTTCTATTCGGGTGAAGACAGTAGATTAGAAGTGGATAATGGGCCTCTCTCCACCAGAAAGAACATGGTCTGTCAAATGTCAACGGTTCTCTTTTTCTTTTTCTTTTTCTTTTTTTAAGTTTTTCTTTTTCTTTTTCTTTTTCTTTTTCTTTTTCTTTTTCTTTTGGTAGAAACCTTTGAAAAAGCTGAAGCCCCTACCATTACTGTATAAAAAATTTGCATCCGCTGTGACTTCAGCCACAAAGGCGCAATGTTGCAC